AAAAGGAGGAACTTATACAGCTTGCCAATGTGCAACGACTGAACTCTTGACTTCAAAGTGATGTAAGCTGACAATGATGCGTGGGTCTGACAGTCCTCCCCAAAGCTGCAGCTGGAGTCACCCGGCACCCAGCAGCAGCCAGCACCCTGCACCCAGCCAGTGCAGGCTCAGCAGAAGGTGGCTGCAGGATGACAGGTCCGAGCAAGAGGCAGGTTTGGCACCAGCACGCACGGTTCATTCCCTGTACATCAAACAGCTCCACGAATGAAGCACTCCAGCTTTCGATCACCCGGGTGAGGCAGGAGGGATGCATACTCTGGTGCGTGTGTAACCCTACAGCCTGCCAACACATGGTTTGAAATTAAAATGGGGATTATTTTAAGCACGTTCCCCCAGGTTTTGCAGCTTCTCGCCCGTTTCCATGGGGACGGGCGCCGTGCTGCGCAGCTGCCGAGGCTCTCCAGCCTCCCGCGGGCCCTGGAGGATGAGGCCAGCCGGGATGCAGAGCGGGGACTGTCCCTCCAGCACTGCTCGGGCTTCAAGAGCCCCCTGGGCCCAGCACATCCCTAAAGCTGGAGCACTTCAGCAAACGGCCCGGCTAGGAAAGCATCATCAAGATATGTAACAGTTTTCTTGTTTTACAAGAAACACATTTTTACAGAATAGTGTTTCTCAGCTTGGAAACTTGCACACCCGAAGCCTAACCCTGACTACACACTTCTTTCAGTCGGACTGGTTTACTGGGAAGAGCTGTACCTGTGGGCTGTAAAACCAGCACCTTGCTTCAAAAAGTTGATTTTTATGCAAGTAGGATAAACCTAGGAGACTGCACTTGACCCCTTTACAAAAAGCCACCTGCACTCTGGCGGAGAGGGTCAAATAAAGGATAGGTAAAGAAGTCATCAAGACAAAATACTAATCATGATGCAAGTAATTGGGCTGCAGCATTAAAACCTTGAAAATCAGCTGGAAATCTAGTTCAGTGTCAGGAAACAAGCAGAAAGCCCTTGGACCACTCACCTCAGTGTAAGCGAAGGAAGGAACAGCTCAGCATAAAGCAGCAGATGGCTTTACATATTCTCATGTGTATTTACATACACTTTTTTAGTAAGCCACTTTGATTCAGGAGAAGCCACAACCAAAACGCATTCTTGAAATTCCTCTTTAGATATAACTGCATATAAAGATACATCGTGCTGTGTTTTTCCCCCTCTCTCACATAACACCACTGTGGGCAATGCTAATAGCACTAAGTGTAAGCGTGCCTTGTATTTCCTATTACTCAGCCCTGTTTCCCAAGTCCTAGCAACTCTGCTAAATGTTTAAGTATCTGGATTGATACATTCCCACTGGCTTCACAATGATAGGTTTTCCCCACTTAGTATAAAGAATAAAATAAAAAAAATTAAAAAAAAAAAAAAAAAAAAAGGAGGGGGTTGTCAATAAACTGGCTTGGCCATTTCCCAGAATGACAACAGATAATACTTTCTGCCCACATGAAAACCAGGCCTTGCGACCGCTGTGCTGAGACATTCCAGTGCCCCATGCCCTGCCATGGAGGAGCTGATGGTTCACAACAGGCAGAGAGAGAGCTGGCACCCAGACCGGGCCTTCTTCAGTTCCAGCGAACAAATTCACTGACCAAGTAAGAAGCTTTTAAAAGGTTCTTACAGGTATAAATAAGAAACCCTAAAAAGCCCTTACAGACAAAGGCCTGTTTTGCCCAATGGAAAACTGCACACAGTGATAATGGTAAATCTACAAGCCCACTACGATCCATTGCAGCTTACTGAGGCGACCTTACTCCAGCACACCATAACTCTGAGAGTGCTCAGTCTTGCAGCCCTTCTATTCTTTTGCCTTATGTTCTTGCTTCCAGCTTTTTCATATTCTTTTTCCCCTACTTTTTCTTTTTTTTCTCCCCCCCAACCCCCCCCATTCATTAACTTCCTCCGTTCAGACACAGGGTACAACGTACCTCACCGAAAACTAGCTGTCAAAAAGGCATCACTAGGCAGCATCTCAAGTTGGACAGGTTGGACCTTGCATCCTACTGATGCGTATGCAGCAGCTACTGAACATGCCAAGTTTTCTGTGTAAAAGCAACCAGCTGAAGCCAACGCTCACAAAGCGAGGGGAACCAATCTCTCATGTACCAGTGCTTTCTGGAAGCACCCACAAAACACGCAGACACTCTGCTTTCAAAGTCAGCTTTTCTAGTAGTTGAATCCCAACTCTGAAATGCTCAGAAATATTTCAAAGGTTGTATGCGCAAACATGAAACAGCAAGATGTGCCCGCTGCAGCCAAGCACAGCACCAAAAGGGTGTCAGAAAGATGCACTGTGCCCCGTCCCCCCGCCAGCAGCTCAGATGAAATGCAAAGGACCAGTTGCACTTGGCCTGTGCCCAGCTTCACAGTCCAGAGAAATTACCTGAACCAGTGGAAAACTGGGGGGCAGGGGACAAGACAGCACCCAGGACGGGAAGCAAGGAGGGAGGAGGACAGTTGTTCCTTGGGCACGACTCCCCATTGCACAGCTCCACACCGCCCTGTCCCTGGAGGGACAACGAGCCAGAGCTGCACCCAGGCTGCATCAGCACCGACCTGCCCTCGGCTCAATCCCTGCCGAAGCAAGGAGTTCAGTCCCAGCTTTAACAAAAACAGCGCTGAAAAAAACAAAGAAGGTTGAGAGAATATCCATGGGACAGACTCAGGAATATGATGTTTACCCTCAGAGTCAGGGACTCGGAGGGCTCAATCCACGCATCCCACTGACGACAACGCCAGGTGGCCACGGTCCCAGCCTGCTGCTGCACTGAGGCAGGGGCACAACAACAGAAACTCCTCTGGTTTATCAAGGTGAGGCCCAACAGCAGGAAGCTGGGGTTGGAGATGCAGACTGGAGAGAAAAGACGATTTCTAACTGTGAGGTTAACAGCGGATAATCCTCCAGGGCCAGGCGTTTTACACTGAGAGCAAACACGTTACTGCCCACCCCCAGGAAACCCCACCAGGCTCTGGCTTACCCACACCAGTTTGACTTGAGGCAGTAATTCAGTAAAGTCTTGAAACCAGTCCCAAGAAATTCAGGCAAGAGGACTGTAAGGGTTTTCTCACCTCAAAAATCTACACATTTGGAGTTCGATTCATCTGAGAGTAAATACTGGGCCTTGTGTTACTACTCACTAGAATGAGTGTTAACCTTCTATCTACATACACCCTGTCATAATTAAAAGGGATTAACCACTGGATTTAGAGAGTCGGGCTCATTCTTGTATATCTATCACTAGGAACCACCTATGGGGAAAATTTTATATACTAACCTTTCTCCTTTTTTTTAAAAAATTTATTTCACTTTTAATTGTCATTACTAACAATTCTTCCACCTTATGTCACACACAAAACTGAAGTATTAAGTGGTTTCTTTATGTAAGGAAGTTATTGGAATGCCTTAAGAGATCTCCATAGCAACCATGCCGTGCCAGTAAATATGAGTTCACCAGAACAACACTGTAATTGCTCTGAGCACACACTAACAAGCAACGATGAAAAAACAGGCAATACTAAGAAAGTAATGTCCTAATAAGTCTCCGCTACTGCAAAAGCGCTGCTTGAAAATACCTTATGAGATGTTATCAGGTTTTGGTTCATGGTCATTCACCTGCAAAGCTCAATTTCCCTATATTTGCTGTATACAGGCTCAGTTCAGAATGAAATGCTTTCTGAATTATGTAGCAAAGCCTCCAATTTAAGTGTTTTTACTTGGCTCGCTTGCTGACCCACCACATCCAAGATGAATCACATTTTCCACTTTGAGCACAGAATTCTGGTAAAGCCCACCGGAGCTGCAGGCACCCAGCAGCCACATCAACCCCTTCTCATGCACAGCGTTAGTATAAAGGGACGGGAGGTTGGATGGATTTTGCAGTTCCTTCCAACAGCAATTTTGTTGTGCATTTCAGTCACACCACAGCACACCCCTTGGGCAGTGAGGTGTCATTCTAACATGTTTTCTCTACACTTCTGTAGTAAGAGATGCAAGGGTTAACAACTCAATATTATACTCTGAATTGCTAATAAATACTTGGTGATATCAACTAGCTGCTTCTCCAGTAAAAGTTTACCTGATTTAACACCCCTTCAGCTGCCAGAAGCAGCACAGTCAGTTTCAGGTTTGATCACCCTCACTAGGGGGATGCAGGAGACCCAGTGCTCAGTAAGCTAGAACACCACCATACCTTGAAGGCTCAAATTAACATGTATCACGAACTCCAAGTTTATCTAGTGCAAAATTCCAGCACCCCGAGCACCCGGGGATTTTTGCCAGTGCTCAGTTGGTGTCCTAGGGCCAGTGCAGCGTTCTTTGTACGTCGGGATTGCTCCCAGCCATCCAGCACCCCATCTGCTGGCCCCACGCCTCTCCCAAGCCTTCCCCCACCCACGGTCAAAGCGTCCTCCCTTTGGTCCCCTGAAATTCCACCCTGCGTCCCAGAAACCTAATGCAACCGTGGTATTTCATGGTGTATTTCTACAAAGAACTCGTATCTTGGGAGAAAAAGCCCAAAGCAGCGCTTTCCAACGGCAAGGAGCTTTTAGAAGTTTGATGACTAGCTGCACTCGATCTTTCCTTGTTAAAACCCGAGATCTCCTCGCACGGGTTGCAACTCCCTTTGCTACACCGTCCCCCGCCTCGCCGCCCGCTTCTCCGGCACCCGTTATTTTAAGGGCTGCCGCCCCGTTTCTGCGGGGCTGCCTGCCGGGCAGCGAGCGCGCTGCCCGGGGCTCCGCGGTCCCTGCGCCCCGCGGGAGGCAGGACCCGGCCGGCAAACCCGCACCGGAGCCACGGTCCCGCCGCCGCCCGCTCCCCCCCGGGCCGGCACCGAGCAGGGGCGGGACGCGACGAGCCGGGACCCGCCGGAGCGGGGCTCAACAGGTGCGGGGCAAGGGCATCGCGGGGCAAGGGCATCGCGCGGCAAGGGCATCCCGGCCCGCACTCACCGTCCTCCCGCTCGTCGAAGACGGGTCTCTTGGAGGAGGAGGCGCTCGCTCCCATCCTCTTCTTCCACTTGCCCCAGTGAAACATCGGGACGAGGCGGATGGCATGCCCTGCGCGCCGCTCCCCGCCGGCCCGGCGGCTCCCGCGGGCGGGACCGGGCGCTACGAGCCGCCGC